ATGATGTTTCCTAGTTGGTCATGAAACGTCTGGAAGAAAACCAAGCTTGGAGCTCCAAGGACACCATAGTTCTCCTCCTCCTCCTCCTCCCACTGATGATGTTTCCTAGTTGGTCATGAAACATCTGGAAGAAAACCAAGCTCAGAGCTCTAAGGACACCATAGTCCTCCTCCTCCTATCTGCCTTATTATTTTTTGCCACCAAAAAAGGCACCAGGTCTTATTTTCAGGGGACGTCATCCACTAATTAACCTCGCCTGTGCGCATCACCCGCCCCCTCCTTTTTGCTGTCAGAGGTTTTCAGGAATTACTTCTTCTGAGGCCAGCAAGGCTTCCCTGAAGGCCTCTGCAACCGATAAGAGAGCTCTGGATCGATCCAGAGCTTTGTTCTCCGCTACAGAAGGCCTTCAGGAAAACCTCGCCAGCCTTGCCAGCTGCAGAAGAAATGGGCCAGCAAGGCAGGTGTTGGGGGGTGCAAGGCCTGACTATACCTGTCCAAAGGTAAGTAGTAGGGCAGCTCTACCTCACCCTCACCCTACCCATCCCCAGCCTAGCTTAATTTTTACCCATCCACCTTGGAGTGGGTGAGATCTTAATTAGGGCTTATTTTGGGGGGTAGGGCTTATATTGGACACACGTGTAAAAATCAAGCTAGGACTTACTTTCAGGGTAGGTCTCATTTTCGGGGAAACGGTAAATATCTAAATAAAATGATCCAGACAATACGCTGTTCACTAAGCACTTCCTTTTTTTTCTGTGCCATTCTGACTTTGATCGGCCACTAAAGGAACTGTTGTAAGTCGAGGACTACCTTTCGTTCATTTTGAGACACCTCCTCCTCCTCCTCTCCTCGGTCAGGAGATCAAAACCCCTTCCAGCAAGAATTCATTTGCTGTTCAATCGAGTTAGGATCGTCGATCTTCCAAATAATCCTTGTCCCGATCCCGTTACTTTTCTTCCCAAACAGTCTGCAGCAACAATATCCGGCTTTTAGCGGCAGTTGCCGTCTCGCCAAGCGATGGATCAACGCTCAGCTGCTCAGCGACAGCCTCACGGAGGAGGCCGTGGATTTATTAGCGGTTTTCCTTTTCCTCTCTCCGGCTCCCTTCACGGCACCCAGGTGAGAAGCCAACTTTGATACCTGCCCTTTCGGCTTGTTTCTTTTGATTATACCTAGAGGTGGGGAAACAAGGGCTCCTTTCTGACTTGGGGACTTCAACTCCCAGAATGCCTGAGCCAACACCGTCCAGCAAATCTGCCTCACAAAGAACTTATTAAAAGTCCCAACTTTTGCTTCCGCGTTGTAAAATTTGATTTAAAAAAACACAACCTTATGAGCTTTGGCCTTTTTATAAAAACTTGTTAGCAGGACAAGGGACTAATAGCCCCTTTTGGGATTCTTTGGATTGCAATTTCGCGAGACTTAACCAGGAAATAAGTGCAGTAGAAGTTAAGCCTGCTAAACTTCTGAATAAATCGATTTTCCCTTGTGGAAAAAAAAAAGTGCAGAGAAGAGCAACTAAAACTATCAAAGGCCTGGGGACGAAAACATAGCGAAGAACGGTTGCGGGATTTGGGTTTGGCTAGTCAAGAAGGACTAAAGAGTATTCCAGCATTTGAGGGGCTGCCCCAAAGAAGGGTGGGGTGTGTGTGTCAAATTATTCCTCAAAGCACCTGAAGGCAGGACTAGAAGCAACAGGTGGAAATTCATCAAGGAGAAAAGCAACCTGGAATTAAGAAGAAATTTCCTAACAGGACAATTAACCAGTGGAACTACTTGCCTCCAGAGGTTGTGGCTGCTCCGACACTGGAGGTTTTCATGAAAGGACTGGACAAGCCACCTGCCTGAAATGGTATAGGGCAGTGATGGCTAACTCCATGCCGCCACCCATAATGCAATGCGGACGCGACACCCCTCCCCCCACGCCCCCCCCCCCCCCGCCTTGCAGCCTCCTGGAAGCAAAACCAGGCTGCAGGGAGGCCTACTAGGCCCAAAACAGGAAGTGCCGGTGAGGGGGGGGCATGCCACGCCCCTCCTGTGCTCCCCCTCCCCCCACACATGCGCACGCATCTCCCGCATGCACCCCGGAAAGTCAGCTGGCCGGCAGGAGGCACGCTTGCCTGTGCGGTAGAGGTTCGCCATCATGGATATCGCGTCTCCTGCTTGAGCAGGGGGTTGGTCTAGAAGATCTCCGAGGTCCCTTCCGGCTCTATTCTGAGGGATGACTTGTGATTTGTGTGTTTGCTTTTCTACTTGAAGCCCAAAACTTTTTTTTTTTTTCCCCCCTTCTCTGTTGTGGGTGGCTTTGTTCCACCTGGTCCTTGAGATATAATACTTCTCACCTGCTTCTCACCTTCTTTCCCAGCTCTCCCCAGGTGGGCTTCCTTCGCTTCCTTCACCTGCTGGCTACCTTTGACTGGAAGAACAGCCCTCTTCTGGTGAACCTCAACGGCGACCTCAAAGGTGAGCAACGGAGAGGGTGCAATTTCCATTCTTCTTTTTTTGTGTGTGGGTAGATCAACGGCTCAACGGGCGGTTGGATTGAGATGCCAAATTCTTTCCCTGAGATGGTTTACTTTACACTTCGCTTTACTTTAGTTTACTTAACACTTTACTTTACTTTGTTGTCCTTGCACTTCATGCAATGAAATTAAACACCATCTTCGGTGTACATTATGACTATGAAAATAAACACAAACGCACCTCCTTCGCCTTCTATGCATTGAATCGAAAATCCCTGGTATTGCGTTAATATTGCACTATACCAAGGCTCTTCAAATTTGGCACGTTTAAGACTTAGGGACTTCAACTCCCAGAATTCCTCCTAAGGTCACGTTAGCTCAGGAATTCTGGGAGTTGAAGTCTCTTAAGTCTTAAAGCTGTCAAGTTTGAAGACCCCTGCAGAATTCGCTGTCCTGGGATGCTGCCCTGAGATAGAAGCTGTTTTTCAGCCTATTTGTCCTTGTTCTTATTGCCCGGTACCGTCTGCCAGATGGTAATAGTTCAAAAAAAAAAAGGGTGCGCAGGATGAGATGGATCTTTGAGGATGTTTCGAACTTTTATTGCCTGCCCCAGGGGTGTCTCTGAAGACACAAAAGATGGAAAGCAGGCATCGCAAACAAGCGAATTAATCATCCCTGCTTCCTTTTACACCTTGTAAGGGATTTTGTCATCTGATCTGGGCCGCAAGGCAGGTGATGGTAATCCAATTGATACGGCAGCCTAGAATCTTTTGTTCCAAAAAACCCCGCCAACCCCGTATAAATTTACTAAGCTAAGGTTCACATTGTCGAATGTAACTTTACCCTTGCTGGATTTTGTTGTTTCGTTTCCAACAATTGCCAGCCCAGCATTTCTGGAATTTTCCAGCCAGGTTGGGCGATGGCCTGAAGTCCAAATTTTTCAAATTTTTTAGATTGCAGTGCGGTTATTTGTACAGGTGTATCCTCAACTTAGGACCACAATAGAGCTCAAAATTTCTTTTTTTTTTTTCCAAATAAGTTTTTTAACAGATTTTAACAGATAATCAGAGTTGGAAGGGACCTTGTAGGTCATCTAGTCCAACCTGCTGCCCACACGGGAGATCCTACACCATTTCTGACAGATGGGAGTCCAATCTCTTCTTGAAAGCGTCCAGGGATGAAGCTCCCACAACTTCTGAAGGCAACTTCTGTCTCCATGGGTTAATTGTTCTTACTGTCAGAAAGTTTCTCCTTATTTCCAGGTTAAATCTCTCCTTGTTCAGTTTCCATCCTTTATTCCTTGTCTGGCCTTCAGGTGCTTTGGAAAATAGCTTGACCCCTTCCTCCTCTCTGGGGCAGCCCCTCAAATATTGGAAAACCGCTATCCTGTCTCCCCTGGTCCTTCTCTTCCCTAGACTAGCCAGGCCCAGTTCCTGCAACCATTCTTGGTATGTTTTAACCTCCAGTCCCCTATTTTATTTTTCAATATAAACATACATATTTTGTGGAGGTTGCATTGAGTGCGTCACATATTTTTTAAGCAACAATAACAATAATAATAATACAAATAGGTATGTATCATTCTAATCTTTCACAACTTCAACAATGCTGATTTCTCATTTTCCCATTAATTCATTTAAACATGCATCACATTTCTTGGCGACTCTATCTTTGTAGTCTCTGAATACTGTTCTTCCATATTTTTTTGAGAATTATTCATTGTTCCGCCATAACATCAATATTGGAAATGTGCAGGGTTAATAATGACGCCAAGTATGGGTAATGTTTAATCAATCCCAGAAGTATATCTCAAAATCCCACACAGTTCCTAACCTTAATATTTTAAACTAGCTCGATACCCGTCTTTTGCTACGAAACTATGTAATCGGGCCTAATTTGAGGGGGGGGGGATGGAAATAAGGGGAGGGGGGGAAATTCTGCCTCTGTTTCCCAGCATCCATCGGTATTCATCTGGCTAGTGTCCTGTCAGTGGGTGAGAGCGTTGAGGGCTGTTTGAGAGTTGAGTGTTTCCCCTGGATGGTCGAAGGCCTCACGCTTGAGCAGGGGGCTTGGACTAGAACAGGGGTGTCCAACCTTGGCAATTGTAAGACTTGTGGACTTCAACTCCCAGAATTCCTCAGCCAGGGGTGTC